AAACTTAAGAATCCACGTGTATGAAAGTACGAAACCTGTTAGGCCTTTAAAAAATTAATAAGATATATTGTAGTTGGTACATTACGGATGTGCGGAGGTTTAATCCTCCTCTTCCTTTCAACTCTCCTCAAAGTTTATGTCGGACTTTCCGTCGTACAGATCAACAGTTTTGCGAGTTGTGTATGAAGCAATCAGTCTTTGTCAATTGGTGATTGAAGATCCCTCAGCTTTGTCTCATGAAGTAAATATGATCAACCACTGTCTGGTGGGGAAATTTTGCGTGAGTGACTGTCCTTGAACGGTTAAAAATCTGGATCGTGCTGGTATAAACAGTCAACCGTCGTGGAAATGATTGGATTTTATATTTTTCTCGAAATCCTAACCCGCTGTTGTGTGGGGTTTGACTTCTTTGTCGTTAGTAAGAACATAGAAGCTGAATGTCATAGGTTTTAAGTTTTCGCTGATGGGCAGAACTTTGCTTGCCCTCCATGCCTTTTTCATGACACTGGAGAGTTTCTTGTTCCGGTTTCAGTTTTTTGAATGGCATTGCCTGGGTCATATTTAGTTGACATTCTGAAAGTGCTTTCTCTTTAGTAAGTTCATCGGCTATAACCATATGCTCTGCTACTCAATTGAAGTGAGCTTTTCTTTTTTCCACCATCCTTTAGGTCGTCTCCATACATAATGCAAGAAGATGTCATTTTTAGTGCCCCTGTGACGTTGAACATGCAGAACCCTGAATGATTTTTCCCCCGAATTTTTTTTTTTAATTTTTATTAGGTTTCTATTGGTTTTGGCTTACTACAAGAATATTGCTTTTGAATAAAATTTAATATTGAATTGCCAAACGTTGCAGAGCTTTTTATAGGTTTTTTTTTTTTCAAATTATATTGTATACGCAGAACTTTAACATAAAAGACACAAATAGTTTCTTAAAACACCAACTACAAAACGAACATGAAAACTCAATACCAAAATCCAACAACTGGTATCAACAAATTTACTACTACCTTAAATTCATGCCCCAAAATTCACTTACAAGGCTTGACCAAACTGAAATAATTAGACTCCGTCTAGGGCACGCAAAGATCACTAAACTGCTCCTAAGCAACCTCCGTTGAACCCATCCTCGACTCCTGCCACGGCTCATCAATCCTGAGAAGACATATTTTCCATAACAACAAACCCTCCCAACTCCTCTCCCATCCTAACATAGATAATATGAGTAAAATCATTAAATTCCTAAAATTATCTAACCTCTACTGTCATATATAAGGCTCCTTTGGTATTCATGATTATTACTACATCCGCAAGCTCGATCCCCCTTTATACGGAAAGATTGAAATTAGAGAACAGCCTCAGTAGTGGTTGGTATTAGCAAGTCTTTTTGGCTACGAGATAACTAGTTGTATTTTTCAAGCGGAACTGACGGCGGCTTTACATGAGACTGTTAATTGTTCAGGTTTAAGGCATATTCGATGAATAGTATGTATAAGTCCCCTCGCATACCTGGCATAAGAGTCAGAAACGGCAGGGAGTTGCCACAAATCACTCACCGTTATGGTTACAAGGACACAGTAACATACCATGAAGGGAAATGGCGGACAAGTTTCCAAGGAAGTGCATTCCCTTCAGGGCTTTCGCTCTGAATAAGGAACAGTCAGGTCGTCACTCTCCACTTGCAATCTTACTACAATATAAGAAGGTTAGTCATCACGAGTGCTAACTCAATATAGAAGTGTACCAATTGTTGCAATGTGATTAGACTAATGCAACTGAAATGGAATAAATGAAGTTAAAGAGAATTTAACTCGCTAAAAGTCAAGGAGATATGCACAATGATGAGTCTTCTTACGGGATGTCATCTATTGGATCGGCACACATGAAGTTGTGAAGCGAAAGTAGAACCTGATATCTTAAAGCGCTTCCCTTGCGAATGTCTCGTACTCTGGAGGTATAGTCTGTGTGAACTTTTAGAGGCGGAAAACATTTGAGACTTCAGCGAATTAGTGGATGCAAAGATAAATGGATTACTCTATTTTTCTCACATCCAACAATGGCTTGACAGGCGGGTGTTATAACGAGACTCAGTGGTTCATTTGTTGATTTTATGAGAAGCTTTTATTTCATGTCCGAAATACACTCAGAGGGTTGGACATTCCCTGCTGAGAGGCGACCGCAATTAAAAAATTTAACTTAATTTTTTGTTTAAATTAATTTTCCATAACTTTTGGGTGTTGGTCGCACGGGGATTTAAACCTGAGCCTTACGCATGCCAGTACGCAATGCTAACCACGCGGCTACAATAATATTAATACTGAAATGAAATATGATAATTTGTTCTGATTTAAAGTTTTGAGTCAAAAAATCGTTTAAATGCATAAGTGATGGTGGAATTTGGTATAACTCAGATACAAATACAGATAAATATTGTCACTGAAATCGGAGGACTATCTTGTATATCTCCTATACAACCGATTTTTCGGATATGAGGTCATGGGTAAAAAATTCCTCAAAAACGCATCCGCGAAGGGGAAATTTATTATTCGACACAAGTATCTATAAATAAACTAAATAAAAATTAACACTTACAATCATCGAAATTAGAGGACTATATCATGGAGCTCTCATACAACCTATTTGTTCAGATAAAACGTTTTGCGTTAAAATATCGCAGATCGTGAAATTTGGTATAATACTTACGTTCGTATCAACTAAAAATATTGTCACCAAAAAATCATTAAAATCGGAGGACTATATATTTATATATATAACATATATAAGATTTGGCTAAAAAATCCGTCGAAAAAAGGTACAAACCAAGTGGTAATTTCCAAAATATTAAATTATACTAAAAAATGTATGTTAATAGTGATCCCTGTTTGTTATCTCATAACAAAATTCGTTAAGCCCCGGCTCACAAAACAACCTCCCGCGATCTTAACTAAGCTCACCTCGACCAATCTTCTTCCGTGAAATGTTGGTATCGGCGAGCCCATTCCAAACGATTTTTCCTATTCTTTTCTGAGAGCCACGGCTTCTTTCGGGCTTTACATCCTCTTAAACCTGCTTCCAGAAGTCCAAATTCATCCGCAAGGGCAGCTGCATGGGTAGAAGAAGATTTTTTTCTATCCTTGAGAGACTCGCGTATAAGTATTCGGTCTTCTCGTTTATTGCTTAGACGCTTTCTTCCACTTTTTGATTCATTATTGTGGGTTTCGTTTCCATAAATCACCCTAAAGCACATTGGATCGCGCACCGCGAACATCCCATCAAATTGCCAAATTTCAACCTTCTTCACTTAGAATTGGAATTCTAACTCTATCATCATAACCAATTTCACTTTTTTAGGCATTTCGATAAATATGAACTGTTTTTATAAAATTGGTAACTTTTCACTGAATGTAATTTACACTTTCACTTTCAAATTTTAAATGCCAATATATTTTATGAATTTCTTAAAAATGACAAGTTTTAGGTTTAGCTTACCCAGAGTGCTATGACTTTTACTTTTACACATTTTACCCGTTTAATCAAAAGTTAAACACCCACGTAAGACACTTACAAGAAGAAATGGTCACTTTGATAGCCACATTTGAGAACACTTGTATATTAGTGGGGTGCCTAATACTTTTGGCCAAGGCTGTATGATGACTTTGATTTGGTTATGAAAGGTCCAAAGAACTCACATGGCTATCCCTTTTTAGTTCTAACGCCGTTCCTTTAATCTAACCTCAAACCATTCTTTAAGTCAACATAATTAGTTTCTGCTCTCCTCAGCGCTCGCTTCTCTTGCTCTCCTCCCATATCTAAAACTTCATATTATTATAAGTATTATATATTTCACATCCTCTATGAATAAAAACTGCTATTAGAGATAAGTGTTATGTAAGACATTGCCGTAAGCTATTACATACACGGTGTGTCCCAAAAGTAACCGAACTTTTTGGCTATAAAATAAAATACACAATATATTATCTTTGAAAGTTATTATTTATTCAAAATAGGTTCCATTTGACTCAACACAACGCTTGAAACGATCAACCAGCGCATGCATAGATTTTTTTATGTCATTTATAGAAATGTTCTTCAGTACCTCGGTTATGGCTGCTTGAGTGGGTGGGATATCATCATAAAATGTTCCTTTCTTCTTGGTTGTCAGTTTTGGAAATAAAAAATAGTCACATGGTGATAGATCAGTTGAATACGGAGGATGGTCGATGAGAGAAATCCCTTTTTTCATTAAAAATTCATTAAAAATTCGAACGATTTTTTGGTCGTCATTTAATTCATGTGGAACAAATCGCGCACAGACCTTTCTTTTCCCCAAATCTTCAGTTAAAATTCTCCAAATAGTGTTTTTACTCGTATTCAATTCCTCAGCCAACATTCTCGTAGTAAAATTTGCATCGATACCAATGATTTCACGGACTTTTTCCACCAGTTCAGCACGATTACTAGTTTCTGGACGTCCTGCTCTAGGGTCGTCATTTAAATCCTCACGACCATTTTTAAATCGTGTAAACCACGTATAAACTTGCGTACGACTCATACAATCATCACAATAAACTTTTTTCATTAATTTTTTTTTTAAGTGTGGAACAAAATTTTATATATGCTCTTCGTTCTATTTTATTTTGGAGCCATTAGCACATTTTTGGTTTTATTGAAATTTTAATAGATGGCGCTGTATGTTGTACGACCTTCATGATGAAGGGTGCGTTTGAAAGAGGATGAATGTATCTTTTTAATGTTGCAAATTTTCAATAGATGGCGCTGTATGTTGTATGATTTAAATATAAAGTTCGGTTATTTTTAGGACACAACGTGTATTTCACTGATGTAGAGTCTATCTAATAAGATATCACTGAGAAAAAAATTTTTATATTTTTTTTTTTTGAAATCACTTGAAGCGCACTCAATAAAAGCGGCACAGATTACGCGCAATTTGTATGACATGTACTAATTTTTCCTCCTTTCCTCTCAACTATTCATTTCAGATGCAGAATAATGCAATTGTAAACAGAGTACAGCAATTGAACTGTGGAAGGAAAACATGTGAATGAGCAAATAAACACGAGCAAAAGCAAAAGCAAAAGCAAAAAAACAAAACTAACTAAAGCGAGTTTTTGCAACGAACTTTGGATTTTAATTTTTTTCCTTTAATTTCTGCGCACTTCGCATTTCGATGAATGCAACATTTCAACAAAGGTAGCAAAAACAGCAACAGCAACAACAACAGCACCACAACCACAGCCATCATCACCATCAGCAACTACAGCAACAACAACAACAACAAACACAACAACAGCTGCCACATCAGCAATGCACAAACACAACAAATGCGACAAATAGCAATATGTCAACCGACGAAGTAGAGCAGCATTGCGGCAGCAGATATAACAGTACAGTTGTTGGTGGCGCAGCGTGTAATAGCGGAGAGAGTAATTGCTCACACGCTGCCGCCGCTAGCGTTGAGGGAGTGTGTCGTAATCATAGTACGGCTAGTTCAACAACAACAACAGCACATCGTCGTGGTCACAGGTGAGTGAATTTATGAAAAACAAAAACAAAAAAAAAAAACAAAAACAAAAAAACAAAAACAAAAAATTCAATTGGCGAATGGGTGTTGCGAATTTGTGACACAAATTAAAAGATGCGTGCAAAATTAGGGATTGTCTAATGATTTTTCACGCTATAAATTAATTAACCATTTGTTTATGGACAACCGCCAGCGCCGTGAAGTATTCCAAATGGCATGAAATGTGGCGCAATAAAATGTCAAATGGAAAATTACTTATCTGTTACTTGTTCCATATACAATACATATGTGTGTATGCATGTATGTATGTATTGTACATAAGTAATATTAATTATATTAAGGTGTGGTTGTCTTTTATTCAATTCCATTTGCATAATAATTAGGCGTAAAAAGCAAACCACCATCTGAAGCTCTAACATGTTCCTTCCTTTTTTTCATTCTGGCGGCAGTTTATGCTGCAAAACTTCCTAGACGAAGCTTTCCAATCGGTTTTAACCGGTATTGCAACATGAGGCCGAGCGTGGTCGTGATGGAAAATGTCTCGCCGCAAATTTCTGTCGTTTTTCGGCAAACCCTCGGCCCAGTTTGATGAGTTGTTGTCGATGGTTTCACCCGGTTTTAGCAGCTCATAATACAGCAAACTCTTCTTACTCCATTAATTTGTCAGGCTTCGCATATGACTTTTTGCGCTAAGTTGTCTTGAATCCTATTTAACCAACAATCTATGTACTGTAAAAGTAAATTATTAATCATAACATAACAGTAGAGTATCCAATCACCGCAGGTGTTCCACAGGGTAGTGTTCTCGGACCAATATTGTATATATTGTCCACCGCAGATACTCCTAAAAGTTACAAAGTAACGACTTTTGCCGATGATACTGTTATACTAAGTCGACATAAATGCCCCAATACAGCCATAAAAGAGTTAGAGCAGCGCCTAAAACTAATTGTAGAACGGCTAACAAAATGGCGCAAAAAAGTTAATGAGAATAAGTGCAAAGACATTACTTTTACATTAAGACCAAATACGTGCCCCAACGTCAAGCTCAACGATGTGCCTATCCCACAAGCTAACGAAATCACATACCTTGGCATCCACTTGGAGAGGCGATTGACTTGGAAGCGACAAATTTCTGCCAAAAAAATGCAACTGACGCTTAAATCTTCCAGTTTATATTGGCTTTTAAGACAGAAATCTGGGCTCAGCCTCGAAAACTTCTTTATAATGCGACTATAAAACCTAAATGGACGTATGGAATCCAATTATGGGGTACAGCTTGCGCGACGAATCTCGATATAATACAAAGATTTCAATCGCAAAATTTGAGAATAATAACAGGCGCACCATGGTACATGCGTAATAAAAATATCCACCGAGATCTAAACATACGCACGATCAAGGAAGAGACTGAAATCCAAACAAATCAAAACTGCGCCATGACCCGAACCCTTTGGTTATCCTCTTGGCTTCCGCAACAAGTCAAACGCGCCTGAAGTGAAGGGACTTACTACCCTTGTGAAGAGTGACATTGCTAGCTATATTATAAATTAATTTAGTTTTTCAGATCTGACAACTTATTGTGTGGCTCTTGTTAAAGAAGCAGATTCAATAAAAATAAATACAAATATTGAAAAAAAAGTTTTCGTAATGGATCCATTTTTTTAATGACCAATCACAATCCGATACAAAATGTCTCGTTACAATCCACTTCAAATCAGAGAAAGAGAAGCACGATGTGTGATCAGAGATGCTTTTTTTAGAGCTTGTAGCGTACATATGAGTGCTGCCGTGCCACGATGTCAAAGATGTGCTTGGCCACCTTGACGTCAAGATGAGAGAGGTTTCTTCGGTACAACAGTCGAATAATTCAGCCTCTGCGATGAAACACCTCCGAATGGATTGTGACATTTCAAGCTCTCTACGAGCAACTGCAAACGAAACTATCGAGAAGGTCAAAACAAGAGCTGGGGTGATGCGGACCACGCCGAATTACAGTAGGTTTGAAGACCGGCGCAAAGTGCTGAGCTCTCTATTAATGCCTAGGTTATGTTGAGTGTACGGAGGGATCACTTATTCAGCCTGCTAAATTAAAGGTTTAGAAGATGCCGAAACCGAATACCCAATCGGTGACGTAAAATAGATGTTCCATGAACACCGAATAATAAATGTCTGCTTGAAGACAAACAAAAGTGGGCGGGAGCCAATAGTAAAGAGTTGACTGAGTTCCCTTTCGGGTTAGGCGTACAAGAAATTTCCCCCGGCAAGTCATGCCTGTCGTGGGAGGTAATTAAAATACAACAGTACCCGCAATAATTCGGTCTGCACAACGGAATGAGCTGGATTTATTTTCGGCCAAGGACCACAGTAGTGCCCGAAGACCAATTGAGGAATACTTTTGCGGTTACTAAAACAACAAGAACTAACAAAGTGCTTTCAGTTTTTTGCAGAATAAGTTCAGACGGAAGTATACCTCCAATCTAGAAAAATTGGGTCACTAAATCTGCAGCAATCAGCGGGGGATAAGCTCGAGATGCCTTATAAAGACTTATTGAGATTAAGACGTGGAAGATTAAAACGAAATAATTTGACGTTATCAGTGTTGATTCAGACCCAGAAAATCTACCTCCGTCCAGATTATTCAGCATGCATTAAATTGACTGTACAAAAAGTTTGAATGTGGTTTCCCCGCGAAACTTTAACGGCCGTGTAAAATACAGCTGAGCCACACGAATAAGGAAGTACCTATACGAGCCGTTTGATGCCAAAAAGAGCCTCCAGACCAGATAGCACTCGCTCGTGTGATATCTTCAACCTAATACTGGTGAAAATAAGAGATGAAGAACAAAAGAGAGAGGGCAAATGTTATGTTCGTTTCTTCGTAAAGACGACAACTCTTCAGTACACGAAGCAGAAGCAGAGGAAAAGGAAGATCTCCACTCCTTTGGAAAATTCATATTGTGCGACAACTGGTTTCACTTGGTGCCTTCACTCGACGCCGAACGTCGAGAGAAGAAACGATGGGCGCAGTATAACTTCTTTTACCGTTTAATAGTCGCTTCTTCTCTCTTTATTTAGTCTCTCGATATACTCGTATATTTTATATTATATAAATTTATTGATTAACGGAAAATTACTCTTTAATGAATGTCCGTAAATCTCAGACGCTTATCTAATGTTCGGCTCTGCTTTGTGCTCTTTCCCACATACTCCTTCGTTTGCTTTTGAACTCATTAAACAAACCGGAGTATCAATTATTGAGCGTACATAATTAAATATGTAGATATGTACGTGTATATATATATATATGGATAAGTACAAATATGTGATTAGAACAGCTGATTGAAGTCTAGAAAAAAATAATAAATTCCTGCACTGAAAATCGATTAATATTGTTTACACTACTTCAATGTAACACGGAACAATGATATGGAAAAGACGAGAGCGAAAGTGCTTTATATGGAGGTTTGTTTGCATTAAAACATTGATATTTATGTATATATATACGTGTATGTACATATATATGTGTATTTCTATAATGCATCTGGCACTTGTTGGAAACTAGAAGCTATTAAATAAAATGTGTTGGCACTAAGGAAGCCCAAATATAAATCTATATCGAAATAACTGTATATGTTATATACATATGTGTGTATTTAGTATAAGACTACCTACCAGAATTGAAGAAAATGCATTAATTTTAATGCTAATATAAACACTCAATTGAGGCCAAAGTTCATGTGAAAACGAACATAAAATACTCGTCTGTAAAGAAGGCGTCAGAGAATTAATGTCTACAATCAAAGCTAAGAAGTACGAGGTGTGTTCAAAAAATATCGCGAATTTTGTGTTTTTTGCAAAAATTATTTATTTATTCATGAATATCTATTTTGTGTCCTTCAAAGTAATCCCCATGAGTTATTATACACTTGTGCGAATGGGTTTTCCAATCTTCGAAGCACTTAGAAAAATCATTTATTTTTATCTTGTTCAGCTCCTCCTTCGATGCCGTCTTTATCTCGTAACGTCGTCCTTTAATGGGCCTCTTCAGTTTAGGGTACAAGAAAAAGTCACAGGGGGCCAGATCTGGGGAATATGGTGGTTGCGGCATCATTAGTGTGTTGTTTTTGGCCAAAAAGTCGCGCACAAGCAACTATGAGTGAACAGAGGCGTTATCGTGGTGCAAAACTCAAAAACTTCCACAAATCCGTGCGTTTCTGGCGGATTGCTTCGCGCAAATTGCGCATAACTTGCAGGTAATATTCCTTATTGACCGTTCTACCCTGTGGCAAGAACTCATGATGCACTACGCCCCTGCAATTAATTTTATCGTCTCTTGTTGAAGTGCTCGGGCGTCCGGCACGGTCGTTCACATCTTCTCGGCCTTCTGAGAACATTTTGTACCACCGATAAACGTTGCTTCGGTCCAAGGTAGCTTCGTCGTATGCCACAGTCAACATTCGGAATGCATCTGCGCGCTTAATTTCGTTTTTCACACAAAATTTGATACAGGTTCTTGGAGCCATTTTTTTGAATAGGTAAAAATCGAAGACCATCCAAAACACGTGCAAGCAAAGCACCTGTCAACAATTAAGTGAACATTCGGCATAAGTGAAGGAAGCAGTACCTACCTAACGCCACAAGAAAATCGAAAGTCGATTATACGTAACCTGCGAAAATTCAAAATTCGCGATACTTTTTGAACACACCTCTTATGTTGAATATCAAAAGGAATTGGGCATAACCGTTGATCAACGATTGCTTTAACCGGACTAAAGAACTGTTATTTAAATCACAACGACAACAGCATGTCTTTCGTAAAGTGTCCAACACCACCACTCCTCTTAACATCATAAACAGTTAGTTTGTTCAGACCCATACATTACCAACTTACTCTTTACCTCTCTTGTTAGACCCACAATTATTTTAGAATATGGCTCAGTCGTATGGTGTCCACACTATGAATTGTATGGTCGCTTACAGCTGCTTGATGTACCTACAC